GTATATAGTCTTACAAATCGCTTGTATCTCTCCTGTACCTGAACTTCATAATCAAATAAACTGACTAATAAGTGTTTAAAAAAAAATATATATACTGTATATATATATATATATATATAAAAACACGGATGACGTAAGGGTTAAGAAATTAATGACTTATGAGGCAATTATCACATGTCCGACGCTCGGAAAGACACTCTTCAATGTCTACCTGGACGCGTTTCAGCACCTGACGAAATTCCTTCAGTGTACACCTCTTGGTGAGTTCTTTGCCAGAAACCTGAACTTGATGATATCATACGCCCATATGCCACATTTTTCCCGTGGATCACATATGGCTGATGCTTGGAAAGAAACTCCTTAATGTCTACCTGGACGAGTTTCAGAACTTACTGAATTCCTTCAGTGTACACCTCTTAGCGGGTTCTTGACCAGAATATCACCTTGTCGATGTAGTATAACTAGTTTAACTCTTAGAATTTTTTTATTTTGTTATATCTGAAGCCGTCTCCTCTCTTTTTAAGAGAAACCGAATAAAGGATGGTTAGTACGCTCATGTCTTACGTACGTTTTATGAAGTGACGTTATGGATTTTGACTTGGCATCAATTCTTGATGCTATAAAAAAGATAGGTAATTCAATTAGTAATCGGCAAATTTGTTGAGTCATGCATGAAACAGAGTTGCTTCTGTTTATTCTTCTTTTGACAAGACTATTGAAAGGCTGGAAATCAAAAAATTTGCCTGAAAGAATGGTAAAGAAGGCATGCCAGTGATTAAAGCATATTAACAATATTAGCGAATTGAAAGTATTTTATTTTTTTTTTCAGGCTGAATTGAATCCGGAAGACTATTACATAAAGAGTTAATTAAGATTGAAATATAAATGAGAGATTGCTTCAGATACAAGATTAACGAAAGAATTAGTAATTATCTTGTAATCTTATGTAAAACAGGTCAACTATATAACCATATTATTTATATATTCTCAAGAGGACAAGAAAACGGATAAGAAGTTCTAATGTCAAATGAGCAGAGATTAACAAGGTAATAATTCTATTAGGTTTATGGTAACTGGACTAAAATTATTATACAAACAAACGTGATAACAACAATAGCGTTAAGAACGACGATTATTTTTAGGAATCAAGTAAGTATAAAATCATTCACTCTTCTCCCAAGATCAATTCTTTGATAATAGGGGTAGTGAAAAATTTGATGATTCCGGCGGTACGGTAAGTTTGATTATTAAATATAAGTGGATTTATGCGAGCATTTCATAACTACTTTCTTATATCTGCAGAAAAAGATCCTATTTAATTGAATTCCTCAAAGAGGGTATGTGTAATATGACAAGAAATGGATTCTTTGCTATTATATTTTGGTATAAACAGATCAGAACCATTAGCAAGGATGTTGGGAAACGACGATGATCCATCTCTCAATACTGAAAATTCTAGTTCATGATCTTCAGGTTCAATATCACAGATCATTAATTCAGACGAAAATGAACCTACTAAGATATCGAGATAATTTTCAGAAATTCGGATGAAGACTCAATAATTACAAAATTTATTAAACCATGACAGATCACGGTAATTGATGAAACATTTGAAACCTTGACCAAAGAGAGTCTCCCTAGGAACGGGGAACGGGTTATTAGTTTTGGTAGGATAAATTTTCGCGAGTCATTAAAAAATGGAAATGTGGAAAGGATCGTCCCCATGATGACGTTGATCCCCGAAAGCTACCCAATGTCAATAGTGGTGAGCTCAAAGAATTAATCATTAATGTGGTCAAGGTAACGGTGGAAATAGTTCAATTTTCGTTTTATTGAAACTTTACGTTCTGCAGATATGTTTTCATTAGCGATAATAATAATGTATTTTTAACTTATAATTGTATAAGACATGACTGCCGTTTTGAGAGTTATATGCATTTAGAGATCACAATTACAAACTTACGCAGATACGTCAATGCGTACCGACATTCCGATATTCCTTTTACTTAAAGAATGCTTCCTCGTTTTATCCTTTTTTTTAATTGACTCTTATACAGTATATACGACCTAAATTCATTTTATTGTTCATAGGAAATGCTTCTAAAACGTTTAAAAATATTTAAATGAAATATTAAAGCATCTCTATTTGTTACAGAGAATACATATACGCCTCCATCAAAAGAAGTTGATAATAAAAAAAATTAACAGAAAAACCAATAGTCACCAGAAAAGTGCATATAATTAAATACAATATACTGTATATTTCCGCTACATCGGATTTTTGCCAAAGGCTATTATTGCCAATCAACATTTTTCATTTTTACATATACTATTTATTAGTATATCAGTAGCATTGATAATACACATTTGCAATAATAGTTAAATAATTTAATTGAAAGTTTATTTAATAATCATACGTCATTTGGGATGACGTAGTATTGAAGTTAAATCTGATCTAAGATATCGGATTAACAATTTCCTTGTATTTCCAACTTGCCTTATTTATGAACCGATCATTTCAAAAATCTATTTATATAGTAAAAACCGGAGTAATTTTTGTTGTTAAGTTGTTCGTCATGTTTCATTCGCTGAAAAGACTTCCCCTCCTTACGTTGATATGGATAACATTTTTCATGATCTATGATGTTTTTTCGGACTCCTCGCCACGTCGAGATACTGAGAACTCTGTTAGCCCTCCGCTTTCTCCTCAGGCGATCTATTTGCCCGGATCGAGGTCCTCTTTTTCAATAAAACCGAAATCCGTCTTGGAAACAGGTGATCCGCCTGAAAAAGATTGTCCGCCATGCTTCAACTGTCAACTTTCAGCATTTCCGTGCAAGCACTTTGCCGAATGCAACATATATGATGGAAAATGCGAATGTCCACCAGGGTTTGGCGGAAACGACTGTTCTGCGCCAGGTAATGTTACTGTTTTTTGTACGGTTAAGCTCGTCCTCGTGCTTGTTTTCCCTTGTTTGTCAGACAAAAGTGTGGCTCAATAGTTGTAGAAACCAAAATTTCGATTTTATAATGATATTAGATTTTATGACATTTTCATTCTTATTCATATATTACGATGCACCGATTCACCTAATTTGCTTTCAGGAGCATAGATTAACTTCATTCTGTGAATTGTCACAACAGTTTGTAATTCTTTAGCCGATGGTCGTAATAGGCTCCCTCGTCAAGTTAACCAAACATGTGAATGTTCCGATGGGTGGGCCGGAATCAACTGCAATGGTTAGATGTCCTCACGCCTATTTGTGTTTATTTTTCTCATTTTAATTATTAAATCTAACATTTGTATAATCTGATTTAGTATGTGTGACAGATTCAGCCTGCGATCCGCTTATGCCTACCGGACTCAATGGCACTTGCTATAAAGGAGGATTGACTGTGCACGAGAATTTTCAAATGTGCAATGTGACGAGTGCGTATTCATCTATTGTTAAGGATTTATTTAATCTTGTGTATGTATATATTTATTTTTATTTTTTAGACAGGAAAATCTTGGATATGTTGCCCGATCAACCTCCGCAAGTTACCTTCTCATGCAATCGTAAAGCTGAGAACTGCGATTTTCAATGTATTTGTTATTTTTCATTTGTGATATTGTTATCGGTCTTTCGACGTTATTCTAACCTGAATGTACATAATTATTACAGTTTGGATCAATCAAACCGAATCATTTTTTTGTCATTTAACAAATTGCTCGTTTAACGAAGAAATCTCCAGTTCGAGGAATGCCACACATTACAATTGCGATAATATTAAGTGTGAATGCATGACGGGTGAGATGTTGTGTGGCAAGGACGGATCTATCGGTACGTCTTTATAAAGGACACATTGCGATCACCTACTTCTATTTTAACTTAAGCTCATGATCCTCTTCGTAATTAGATATTTCCGAGTGGTTGGTCCAAGAAGTTGTCGGACCTGCGGAATTTACATGTTATGGTTCTGACGATTGTCGTTTTTCTGGTATGAAACATAAATTAATCTTAAGTAATCGCTAATCTTGCAAGAGATGTCATTCAACGCCGCATTACTATTATACAAACATAGAGCCCGCCATGAATCAATTAATTCTGAGCATTTTCGGGGACCAATATATATCGTTGAATTGTTTCGGCGGGGAATGTCTCCATTACAGCGAAGTTCCCACGAATCCTGTTAGCAATTAATGTTATTTATTTTGTTCCTCGTGATTATTGGAATTCGTTATTTATCACAAAATTCTATACTTCAGACACCACGTAAACCAGATAATACAAATATGATTATAGCGGCAGTCTTGGCTGTGTTCACGTTTGTTGCAGGGATCTTTGCAGGTAAATTTATGTACAAATCTGTATTTATAATGACAATATTTCATTTATGTCATATGGACAATAATAAACATAACGTTTCAGCTGTCTTTTATTTGTCTCGTCACTGGAGATCTCCACCTTCATATGGTCCGCTTCGTCTTGCGGACGACGAAGCTGGTAAACTTATGGCCGATCATATTCCAGCCACTTTGTTGTTCCAGGATGTCAGTTATTATGTTGGGGAAAAACAAGTTCTTAACTCGATACACGGAATGGTTAGGCCTGGTGAGGTTATGGCAATTATGGGGGGTTCTGGAGCGGGTAAAACAACATTTCTGGATATCTTAGCTAGAAAAAACAAGGCTGGTGTCATAAGTGGGGAAATATATGTTAACGGAAGAACCGTTGAAGATGAGATTTTCAAGAAGGTAGTCGGGTAAGGTGTTCTGAATTGTCTATTTCATTGATGATATTATGGATGAAAAAAAAAAAGGATTGATCGCGTTATTTATTAAAGTTATGTCGACCAAGAAGATCATCTTCTTTCGACATTGACCGTATATGAAACAGTTTTGTATTCCGCACTCTTACGATTGCCTCGAGAAATGTCATTCGAAGCCAAAAGGTTTAGGGTCTTGGAGACAATGAGCGAATTAGGAATTTTGGCAATCAAAGATTCACGAATAGGGGATGCAGGTATTGCCGATGCTCCTATTCTCTCATTCATTACGCGTCGTGGATTTCATCACTTTAATATTATCAACTGATTTGGCGTTTGTAGGTACACGATCCATTTCGGGTGGTGAGAAGCGCCGTGTCTCTATAGCCTGTGAACTAGTCACGTCGCCTTCAATTCTTTTCCTTGATGAACCAACCTCGGGATTAGATGCTTACAATGCATACAATGTAATTGAATGTCTCGTTACACTTGCAAGAAACTATAAACGGACTGTAGTATGTACGATTCATCAACCAAGGAGCAACATCTTTGCATTATTTGATCAACTCGTATTGCTTGCCAACGGTTACATGGTGTATTCTGGCGAAGCACAAAAATGTCAATCCTATTTCGAAAATATTGGCCATAAATGTCCAGCTGGATTCAACATCGCAGATTTCCTTGGTGAGTTGTCATGAATAATAATATTTTCACATTTATCTGTATTAACAACCTAATTCGAAAATTTAGTTGATTTGACAATGTATGCGGCAAAACCACACGAGAATCTGAATAATAATGACGGCACGAATAATGAGGAAAATAATATTTATGGAAATTCTACAGTAATAGAGCCCAATCAGACAATATCAGCAATTCGTAATAGGGCATCGATTCATGACATTCAAGATTTGCAACTATATTCACCACATCGGCCGCAAACCGAAAATTCCACAAATAACACGATACCTATTGAATTAAATAATCGTGATAGACGAAATGCAGATTCTCCTGATGTAGAGATTAATGGATTTGGTGATGAGATAAGTGAACACCTACGAATGCTGGTTACTAGCTATCGTAGAAGCCTAATCGCACTGGGAATTAAAGATGAAATTGACCGTGCTGTACATAAGTAATTAATCCATGAAATTATTGATAATCAGTAATTCATGTTTGCCATGGAATTTTTCAGTATGTGCATGATTGGTTAATTAATGCATTTCCCTTATTTCATCGTAATTTAGCGATCAACAACCAATCATATCCGATCAAGAATCAGTTGTCAATTCCCACCAGCGTGCCTCATGGTTCACTCAGTTCCGCATTCTGTCTAATCGAACATTTAAGAATTTATATAGGAATCCCATGCTGATGTTAACCCATTATTGTATTAGCGTTTACTTGGCTCGTGAGTTTATTACTTAATATTCTTGTTCATAATTTACAATTTTATTTCACGCTTTAACATTTGGCGTTCCGATGTAGTGCTCTGTGGGGCACTATTTTATAGGGTGACCAACGACATTTCCGGCTTCCAAAATCGCATGGGAGTATTGTTCTTTATGTGTGCCCTGTTCGGTTTTGGTTGCTTGAGTTCGTTACATGTATTTGCAACAGAAAGAATAATATTTGTTAAAGAACGTGCTAATGGATACTATTCACCAATTACTTATTTCGCCTCAAAGGTATATATATGTATAGTTATTTAATTTGGTCCCACATCCAGCTAAAAAATTTTACTCGTAAAACACCTCGTAATCTTCGGGTTTAGGTTCTGTTTGATATTATTCCCCTTCGTGTTATACCACCTATCCTCATGGGTGTCATTATTTATCATATGGTCGGTCTTGTTGATGGCACCACTGAATTCTTCAAATTCATACTGGTTTTGATCTTGTTCAACCTTACCGCGGCAAGCATCTGCCTGTGTATCGGCATAATCTTTAAAGAAGTTGGTGTGGCCAGTTTATTAAGTAGCTTGGTCATGCTATTTAGCATGTTATTTGGCGGCCTCCTGTTGAATAAAGGTATGCCTTATTGGCTAAAACTTTTTTTTTTTTTTTTTTTTTTTATAACGATTTTTTTTTAATTCTTTATGTAGAGTCTATCCCCGATTATTTGGCTTGGTTAAAGGACTTATCATTCTTTAATTATGCCTTCGAAGCATTGATCGTTAACGAAGTTGTTTATCTCCAGTTGAAAGAAGAGAAATATGGATTATTGATTGACGTAGGTTCTAATTCACACTTGTTTTTGTCATCTATTACTTTTATTCGATATCTTGACATCATTTTGTTTGATCAGGTTCCTGGTGCAACAATTTTATCAACATTTGGTTTTGATGCTTCGGCATATTGGTCAGACGTTGCCAAGTTGAATATAATGTTCTGTGCATTTATAGTTCTTTCATTCATTTGCCTGCAACTTTTCGTGAAGGAAAGACGTTAGAGTAAATACATCGTGGGTTAAATTTTTATTTTTACAGCTACTTTCTTATAATCTCATTATTTCATTGTACAATTTATACCTATATATTTTAATATAACAAGGGTGGATTTAAATTAAAAACAATCTAATTACAATTAGTAAAGTGTTTGTCGAAGATTTACGTGAACTTTAGTTTTTTTTTTTTTTTTAGTTCACAATCATGCCATAATGACATGTCTTTATTAATACAGTATATTAAATAAATATTTACATTTTACTAATAGAATGATATTCAATTTCTATTTATAAAAATTATTCTCCAATAATTTGTTACTATAAGTTGCTATAAAAAATGATGAATTGCTAAATTAAAATGAGAAAAAAAAACCAATTTAAGATTCCTTTAAAAAGTTCTTAATCAATTTAACAATCTTCTCTTAAAAAGAATTAATCTAATTGGAACATTATTTAACTTTAAATCATTTGAGAAATTTAATGATTTCTAAATAATAAAACTTTTTTAAAAATATTTAAAGAATTTATTTTTCGATTAATATATTGTATAAATTTACTTATCACATTTTTTATATCAGAATTATATTAAAAGAGTTTGTTTAATTGAAATAAAGAAATCTTTACAAAATCTTTATTTAATTAAAATAAAAATTTAAAAATCATGATTTTTTTTTGAAAAACTTGTAATTAAAAGTTAATATATAATATGATTTTTTTTTATCTTACAATATTATAATTGTTTTTTTTTTTTTGAAAAATATTTAAAAAAACTTTTTCATTGATATTTTGATTATATATTAAAAAGATATTTACAAGAAGTTTCTATATTTTTTTATTAATAAAGTCTATACACTTTTCTTAAACCAATTTGAAACTTGTTTTCATGAATTATTATTACTCTTTCCTACATGTTTATAAACTTTTTTAAACAAAAACTTGGATTTCTTATAATTTAAATAAACTCAAATACAATATATATTTCCTTTACTAAAAACAAGAAAATTCTAAAAAGTAAAAAGATTATCAAATACAGTATTATTTCTTAAAGCAAAAAATAACAAGAGATAGAAATTTTGTTAATAAAAAAAACTTATTATTTATCTTTTTATATATTGTTTTTGATTCATTTAGAGTATTTATTATTTTTCATAATTTTTTTGAAAATTTTTGCTTACTTTAGTTTGGTCCTAAATTTTCAATAATATAGTATCATCTGATATATAATTAATTGATATAAACCATATTAATAGTAAGATATACTGTAAACAAAGACTTTTTCTGCTGATCCTCTGACCACACACAAAAAATATGTTCACAAGAAGTTTTTATACTTCTTTGTTAATAAAGTCTTAATACTTTCATTAAAACAATTTGAAGTATAACTTCAAGAGTCACTTCTATCTTTTCCCTTTTGTTTACAAACCTTTTCACTCAAAAACTTGACTTCAAGTGATCAAGAAAAGTCAAGTAACACCTTTAATACTAACAGCAAGAAAGTTCCCAAAGGAATAAGAACTGATTGTAAAGTACCTGAAGGCCTATTTAACCTTTGAAGCAAGAGATATATAGAGGTTTTTGATGACAGAAGGGCTTATTTTTTCTCTTCCAGTTATTGTTGGGCCTTTTAGAGCTATCGCTTTTATGGTTTTCTGAGGAATTTTATTTACCTCAGTTTGATCCTGAATTTTTGATAGCACAAATTCTTACCAAAGATGATTGGCTGACATGAAACATGTTAGTTTTTTGGAATGTAAACAAGCTCTTATTGGTTATATTCACTTGTTCTGATGATGTCATTAATGATTGGAAAGAAGATTCTGGAAATGTTTGCCCCCAAAAAGCTCAAGTCCCTCAATAAAAACTTCCATGATACCAAAAGACCAAGTGATAGGTAATGTGGATTGCAAACTCTCATCTCTTATCTAAGTTCTGCAAATGGTGACAAAACTTTAATGGAAAAAAGCTGATGTCTAAATGCTTTCCTTGAGATATTCCAATCTGGTACTCACTTAAATGAAAGACCAGTTGTATTGACTCGTCCGATATCACCGATAGTGAAAAAGAAGATTTTTTCTGAGTTTCAAGTGAAGCAAGAAGACTATCCCAATCAGACAGATCCTTTTTGAGAAGAGGCTATTTTTATTTTTGAATTTTTTGGTGGACTTTGAATTGTTCTCTTTTCCCAATCATTTTTCCTTTTTTCTCTTTTTAACTTAGCCATTTATTAATTTTTGAGCAATTAACAGTGACAAACTGTTGGCAATGATTCTAGTAGATAGAGGTTATTACCAATTTATTAGGGAAGTGAAATATTGTTCCCAAAATCTGATTTAGAGTATTTTTGTATAAAGACAAGTTAGTTACTTTGTGAAAGTCTAAAATATTGTAAATTTATTTCAATTTTTCAATAAAGACATGCTATTGTAGTATTATTGCGGGTTAAAAAAAAAAAATATTATTTAATAGTTTGCGAAACAATACAGATTGCTTTAAGGAACCATGGCTTCAAAAATCTGGAATTCCATATGTTCCGTCTTTGGTGAAAATTCTCTGGATATAATCAATACAAATGCAACTGCTATTGAAATTACAACCTGAAAAAAATCATGAAAATCTGGAAGTACTTTAAAAATCTTCATGTCTGTCTTAAAGGGAAAAAACAAAGTATTATGGTATGTATTCTCAAAAAAGTTTGACCAAAAAGATATATTTATGATGAACAAGTTGCATTAGCTATCGTAATATGTCAAATAATGCTAAATCAAATAATGAAAGCATTTTAATTAATAAAACATTAATTAAAAGCAAAATAGAAAAAAATAAGATAAGATTTAAAATTCTTCGAAGTATTATAGAGTTATTTGTTTACTAATAATATATTTTAGGAAAAAATTAAAATGAAAATCAGATTTATGAAAGGCAATTCAAGCAATGAAGATCAAGAAATGCATGAGCAGGAAGATATTGAAATTCTAAGTACTCCAGAGAAAGTAGAAAATGATGAAAATGATTTGGGATTGTAATTAGAAAATATAGGAATAGCAAGGTCTACTTTGGCAATGAGTAATATAAATGTAAATAATTAATAAAAATATGTAAAAAAAGTAATTTTCAATAAATAAATTTTTAAAAATAAATATTTTAATAATAATATGAAATTATTTATTAAAATTTAAAACATTAAAAAATCTCTGAAGTTCTATATATAAATTTTTACTTCCAAGACTTCTAAAGATATTAAAGTGCCTCTAGAGTTTTACACCCAAAAATCTTCAGAGATCTTTGCCAAAAAATTTTTCTGATATAGATGCCCTTTGTATTATTAATTGATCTGTAAATTCTTAGACATTAAGAATAATTATTTATTTCAATTGTTCCTAGGATATACCTTGATTTTAATAAAACATATGAACTGATACATAAATAAACTAGCATTTAAAAAAAAAATCTATAGTAAACAATATTTTTATTAAACTATTTTTTATAAATTATTTTTGAATTTAAAAATAAGTTTTTTTTTTTTTAATGTTATATTGATTGAGTTTTATGGATCAGATTAATAAAATATATAGTTTGTTTTACAAAAATAATTCTTATAACTACTAGCCTATATTATTCTAATCTGATACAAATTTTATTCGATTTTATTTGTTGAGAATATTATTTTTATCAATTGCCCTACTATGTCCAGGTTATTTAATATTTTGAGAATTTACTAGGAAACTCCTTATTACTATACATTCAATAAGCTGTTTCTGTGGAATGTATTTGTATTGTTGATGTTTGTCTTTTATAAAAGAAGTGTTTGAATTATAAATATAATATATTTGTTATACTTAGTTCTTAAAGACTGATTTCTATTGATATTTTTAGTCTTCATGTAATCTCAAATAGATTTTTAATGACTATTAATAAGCTATATTAATAACTTAAATCTTTTAGTGACCATTCTTAACTACTCTTCAAATATGGTCTGTAGAAATTTTTCTTGATAAAATAAAATTACAGATCTTTCCTAAATGTGTCCATTCTTGCAATTCCCATAATGACTATTATATATCATCAAGTTTCTTGTATCTATAGGATAATATCTTCTAGTAGCTATTAATAACAATAATACTTGTATCTTTTAGTATATAACTGATCCTTTATATTTTTTTTATTAATGCAAGTGACTGAAGTCTCACAGTCTCTCATGAGGATGGTTTTTTGAGAAGAGGTAAATTTTCATATAAATTAATAGATTTCTAAATTAATTATTATCTTTCCTAGTATTTTTGGATTTTTATATATTCCAAATAGTAAAATATAATAGGTTTTTGTTTTTAATATTAAAACGGATCAGGATTTATATGATCTAATTTATTTTATCATGATTAAATAGTAAATTTCTATAGGTTGCTTGTGTATAAATATGCATTGATTGATAGGTATGTATATTATATAATATAATCTATATTATAAAAACTATTCTAGAGTGGAATTGAATCAATAACTCGTAGATAGTAATCTAGAAGTAAAGATGGGTCCCTAAAAGAGGAGGCAGGAACAAAAGTCAAATGTCACTTACTAGAAAACATTAAAATTTTTAAATTAATAACTATAAAAAAATTATCTACAATTGTTCTCTATTTTCCAAGTCATTGATTTATAGTATTTTCTGACTTTTGTCCCTATTAAAGTATAGAGCTATGAATTTTGTCCCTCAAAAAAGAACATAAGTAATCTGTAAAATTTTATATACTAAATACTTTAGTGACCAATTATTATCTGGAAGCATACTTACTATGCTATTTTTGTCAGTTGTCTTACTCTGTCCAAATCTATAGTATTCTAAGAATTCGCTATTAGACTTTTTATTCTAATCTTAAAGAAGCTATGATATGTGTTCCTTGATATATTTTTATATATTTCTTAATAATAATAGATATTATAAGTAATTCTTATGATGTTTAGTTTTTAGAGAATTAATTAAAACCTTAATTTTTATAGGTATAATGATTATA